CGAGGTTACGTTAGGTAACCGATTCGTTATCACACATTAAACCGCTAAACATCAGCGTACAGTGTAAAAAATGATTTTGTGGTGAAGTAAATACTACTGAAAAAAAACAATGTAATTTACATGAAAAAGTTAGTTCAGGCAAGAATTTAAAAAACTAAGTAAATTCCATATCAGTACCTAATTTAAGCGAGTAGAAATGAAAGCGTAAATAATAAAATTAAGTAAAAATTACTCAACTTTTCTGATACTGGGGTTCCCATCATGCACTGGACCTTGAATAATTAATGAGGTTGATTTTTCACTGGTTTCCAGCTGTATTTACACTGTTTTATCATTGTTTTTGTTGTTAGGATTATAGTAACTTGCCATTTTGTGACATTTCGAGTAAATTTTCTGCTCAAAATGACACATTCAAACACAAAAATGATCCATCAAATGTTACTGTCATTGTGTATTTTCTACCAAGTATTGAGGTCTTTGCATTCACATGATGTTTAACATCTGACATAATGTAGTATAAATTACTTAGAAGTTCTAAGTAAAGCACATACTGGTATAATTCAATATTATTGTTTGAGTGAAATGTAATGTAAAGGAAATTTCAACTAAATTGATATTACTCAACCTTTTACTAGCCAAGTTAAAATGTCTTATTTTCTTTGTTACTTTCACTTGACTAGGTTAAGTAAAGTTTACTTAATTCCATATTCCAAGTAAATTTAACTTAAATATTTCTAATTAAAGCTACTGATAAATATGTTTAGGGTTTTACTTGGCAAATCGTTGTAAATTTACTAGCATTTTCTGAGTGAAAAAAGTTGCCTAGCTTTTTTCAAGTAAATCCTACTCCAATTTTTTTTCAGTGTACATTTAGAGGGACTCTGGATTTTATTTCAAGACCCCAACTGCATGCGAGGAGATCACTAAACTGCATCCTGCTTCAAGTGCAATCAATAACTTATTCTCATCACAATCAATAACTTATTTCTAATTCGATTTCTTTTGTTACTGTTGTGCCAGGTCAGAAATAGTAAATAAGCTATTGATTGTGGACAAAAATAGATGGTGGGATTGTGTGAAAAATGTCACCAAAATTATGACAAATGCCCTCAAAATTCAAGATATGATTGTACTTGTAGGAAATATTTTTTAAATAACATATATGGTTAAGCAAGGTCGTTTTCATTAAAATGAGCACGATTGCAAACTTGATATTGATTTTACACAAACGTTCAATAAACAATTTTATTTTTAAAACACCAATTTCAACATTATTTATGCAGTCGTAACTGTACCGATTCAGATGCAACTTCTGTCACCTCTGCAATACAAAGATTAATTTTGTTGTTAATGATTTCATTTGATAGGTAACAGCTCTGTAGTGTCTTATTCTAAATATTGAAAAAATAGAAGAGATTTCTCAGTGAACGTGGATCTTTTAAATGAATTTAAGGAGTGCTGGTCTTGACCACACTACCAATACTTACTGTAGGATTGGGCTTAGGGTCTGGTGTAGGTTAGTTGCATGTAATTATGCATAATTAATAGCTATTACTATAATAACTCCAAGGACACTGTAAAATAGAGTGTTACTGAAGCCAAAATGTACCCTTAAATAGAAAAAATACAAATAAACCATCCCTAATCAAATTCAGTGCACATTTCGAATTCGGTCAAAAACAACAAACTTGACAAGAATGAGACTTTATTGGATTTATGTGGAGTTTATAACACTAAGATAAAGGGCAGTTTACACATACAATTACAAACAAACATGTGATTTGTATGAGCAACATGATTACCTGTACAATATTCCATACATGGTTGGTTTGTGTATTCTCAGTGCATAGGCATTACACACAGAGCAACTGTTGCACAGCACAAGAGTATCTGAACAGGCTGAAACGGAGTAAGGCTGTTTGCTTAAGAGACTGAAAATATACCACGTTTACATTACTTGACTTTAAAAACCCTCTGAGGAGGAGAATGCTTTCTAATGGAGCATGGCCAAAGTCCAAAGTGTTGTAAGTCTAGCTGGACGATTTAGTGCACAGTACCACCCCATCCATTCATCCATCCATCCATCCATCCATTCGCACGCATGACGATGTCCTATCTATCAGTTTCTTTAACTGTAAACAAGAGGCACTTTGTGGCAACCACAGGCATCATAACATCATATTGCACAAATCAGCTAAGAAAGAGTGACGTGAAACATATACACTGACACCTTTAAAGACGTTTTGTTTTTCATTAAAGCTGAAAATTAATTTCTTCATGCTGCCTGTGAGCTCCACACTCCCGTGCCAAGTACAGGATGTCTGAGGGTCTGTGTGTTAAGGTACTGTCTCTAAATTGTCAAAATGGCAATTGATGCGTGTCATTTCAAAGAGATGGGCTGAGGCTTAAAAGGATAATTCACCTAAATATGAACATTCTGTCATTTACTGATTCTCGTGTTGTTCTAAACCTGTATGACTTTCATTATAATGGACAACAGAAGTAGAAGAAAGTCAATGGGGTCCAAAACAACATTGCGTTTCATTATACGGACAAAAAAAAGTTCTTCAAAATATCTTATTTTGTGTTCATACAGGTTTGGAATGACATGAGGGCAACAATATGACAGAATTCTTTGGAAGAACAATCCCTTTAAAGCGAAATTCATCACGTGATGCTCTTCGCACATTAAACCGCTAAACATCCAAAAGACATCAGCTTACATTTAGACGGACTACCTGCAGAGGGACTTTGCCAGAATGTGAACGAATACTTTCATAAATAGTCGCTTTATTTTTTTTTTCTATTTTATGCTTTCTTAAAAAAAAAAAAAAAATTCAGTCATTAAAAACATTTGATTCTATTGGGATGCACAGAGACAATATTTGTCTTTTCACCTCTATTCTCCTACTTTTGATTGCTGTAAAGCATTTCCAACAAAAAAAAAAGAACAAAAAAAAATACTGTGGACCGCTGACTGAAACCCTGCAAAGACCTGTAACAGTGCAAATGTCTAGTACAATATGTTGCTCTATTATAGTAGCTTTAAATAAGTCAGTGCTTGGGCAGAATGGTAGGTATCAAAGCAGTAGAAGAGTAAGCATTGTCAACTTCAAGTAAGGCAAATAATACCTCCCCAGGGCCCCGCCACCTCTTCTGAACACAAAGAAAAATTATAAAACAAAAATGATCAAGCTTAATTTTGGCAGGTTTTCAGTGATGTGATAAAATGTAAACAAAATGAGAATCCTTGATAGGCTTTGCTTTTATTCCTGGATTGGTTAGTGTACAATCTCATGAAGGAAGGCCAGGTCTCCTCCTCATGTGAGGGAAACGTAATCTTTCTCTAAAGGAAGGCGAGATGTACGGTGTGTGCAGAGGGCTGGTGAGAAGAGTGAAGCCTGAACGTTAACAGTACAAGAAAGGCAGCTTACTCACTACCCTTAGTGAAGATTCTTGCCCAAGAGACTGAGAAAGGTTTTGTGTGTTTGTGTGTGTGTGTGTGTGTGTGTGTGTGTTTGGTCTGGCTACATCAGCCAGATGTAAAAAAAAAAAAAAAAAAAGATTTGGCATGCTTAAAAGAAAATTATACATTTAAATATTCTCATATATAGGGCTTTAATATTTCTGAAGCAAGCACAAGACTGAGTAAAATCCGTAGCTGCACTATGCTCATTCCAAAGGGAACGAGGCCTGTTCAAGAACAAGAAGAAAATAAAATTGAAAATGAACTCTAGCTAGTGAGGGCCACCAAATTGTTGCAAGCACCATTGCTGGATAAATGATAGAGATTTCATTAGATCATGCACGATAAGGCTACAAACATGTTTATAGGGAGCCAAAGATCTGATGTCTGACATAGCCAGAAAGAAAGAAAAACAATGTGAATGCTGTTGAATTCAAATCAAAACTTGCATCCAAGGTCGATACATTCAGAAAAGGGCTTCTCCGTGTTGACATGCATTACATGAGATGCTGTACACCATCAAATCTGACCTGTGATCGCTGTAATGAACCGTGGCCACGTGGAGCCCTCACGCAAGATTGATCCGTATCCCACAACAGTTTTATGACTGACGCTAATGTGAGCTCAAACCGTGAACCTTTAAGAAGTGAAACAGAAAACTAACCCATCCTGTAAGTAAGAGCCAATTTAAACAAGTGCCAATTTTAAAGGGGGAACTTGTGAATTATAAAAATGAAGTGCCACTGAGGGACTGTTTATAGATTCAAATCCCATCTGCAGAAGAAAAGAGAGATGGCAACGACTTCCTCCCAAATACAATCAAATTGTAAAATGACTTTGGAAACTTCTTTTAGAAAAAACATTGTATACTATTTATTTGACAACATGGAAACTGATTCCAATAACATGCACACCTTCGATCAACATTATTGCAACACTGGTTTCCCTGTTGTGTTGTGTGTTTGCATTAAAACAAAAAAAAGGGGAGGAAAAAATAATAATACATGGAGCTATTTGTGTTTACTGCCAACGTCATGTAGTTTAAAAGAATCATTACCACCTCCACTTTAGTAGTGGTAATAATAATGATGAAAGCAGACTGAAATATTCCACTGCACACAGAGCCCGACTGAAACGTGGCAGCCTTCCAGCAGCATGAGAAGAGTTTCACAGTAGGTAGGACAGACTAAAGGAGGACAGACATGGGGGCATGAATGCTGATTAAAGCACTGGCCTTGGTGTCAACAGGTTGATGGAGCAGCAAATTTCAATCTCCACTGGATGTCTCCCATAAACGATCTCCCATCCTGACTGGGTTTCCTTTCTTGTGTTACAGCATGAACATGTATTTACATGATGCCGTTCTCCACAGAACATCAGTGTTGATACTTCATGGAGAGGGGCAGATGAACAAATGAAAAATTGGTCCGCATTGTTGTCCCTAAAACTGGTGGCGTTTTGTGTGACGTGTGTCTTACTTCTGCTTGGAGGAAAAGGTTTTTTTTTTTTTTTTTACGGCTGGGGGGGGGGGGGGGGGGGGGAAGGGCGGTAAAAAAAAAAAAAGTACTTGCTTTCAGTTCATATTCAAGTTTTCTCCTTTATACAACTCTATTACGTATGGTTTCTTTTTTTCTTCCCATAAAAATATTTCAAACTTTAGTAATCTGTTCTTCATCATACTGTTCATTTTCAGGGTCCGAGTCTGTTGTGTCCGAATACCGGTAATGGTCCGGTTCATTATCGCTAACATCTGGGGTTACAGATGTAGAAGTGCTGGCCTCCGAGTTGGATGGTTCCTCCACTGTTTTCGTGAAGTACAGCTTCACCTAATAAAAAAAGAAAAAAAGAACATTTTAGCCAATTGAAAATTTGTAGATTTATACATTGCAACTTTGGATGAGCTTAACACCAGTTTAACACCTGAATGAATAGCATTTGGAATGCGATGAGCACCAGTGCTAAACACACCTTGAAGTTTGGAGAGAAGTATCGGTTGGCTTTATCCTTATTGGCTTTATCCAAGTCGTTCTTGGTTAAAGTCAGGATTAGATAATCCTTGTCATTCTCTCCCCGTTCTGTTGTTTGGATTGCATCCAGTTCCTTCACTAAACCTCCGTTTTCAACCTTCTCTGAGCTCTCCTCTGGTCCAGGGATGAAGAAGGTGTTCACCCAGAAGTGAAACATCTTGTCCTGTTGAACAAAAATAAGCAAATAAAAGCTACAATCAAGTAGTGTAATAATATAAAAGAAAAAGAAAAACATCTTCTAAAACAAGTCTTTAAATTACAACTCACAATGCACATTACTTCAAAGAATATTTAAAGAAATAATTTTAAGGAAATGTTATAGCCCACACTGAGCAGTTTAGAACGGGGCGATAGGAGTTTGTATTCAGCAACGATATAGAAAAATCAAACAGTGGTGATTTGCCATAGAGTACACAAAGTGGTGTAATAACATGTGGGTGAAGTTGGATACATACAGTAGTTGTAAATTGAAGTTATTAAAATACACTGTGTGGTGGAGAATCTGTTGTACTACAATAGCAGTTTCTGATGGCAGACTTAAAACAAATGAAAGGGTGTGTATTTGAGCTTACGTATTTTACTCAATACATAATTGAATGACAATGAATGGTGATGAATGGCAATGACTCATTCCATGATTGTGTTTTACACCGCCCGACCATGTAAGAAGCTGTTCTGCTGCTGATGCCAGACTATCTCATTTGATATGAATGATCTTATATTTTGCTTCAATCAAGTTCAAAGTAAAAGTTATTTTAATAACTTGAGATCAAGTACCTTATTTGTATTCATTTTGCATTTCATTCCATTGGTAGCATTTTTGATCACATTTATCACTACGTTACCAAAAATGTTTATTCTCTACAGTTCTGGTAATGCTTGAAAATAAATTTTCATTTGTTAGTTTATGTTAACTAATGTAGTTAACTAATGTTAAGTATGAATAATACTTCTACAGTATTTATTAATCTTAGTGTTTAATGTTAACCTCAATATTTACACTTAAGTTAAAGGTGCAGTATGCAAGAATGGCAACTAGTGGTCGAAATAGGTACTGCAGTTCAAAATATCGGAGATCGTCGTTTCTCCCGCCACCTGCTCCTCAGACTGGACGTTACCAGTTTGAGAGAGGTGGTATTAACATTAAGTGATATGGCATCTGACGCACAGAAGCTAATGGCACGTCACTATGCTTATTGGCACACCCGGTCTTGATTGGCATGTGCTAGTGGATAGTGGCATTATCGCGACACACTGACATGACACCTGGGTCGCAGAACATGTCACATGTCAACTGTTGTGACACCTCCAGTAGTGACTGACAGATGAATCGAGCACCTATACTAATGTAATTGTGACACAAAAATCCTAAATAAATAGCCTAATTTTGTGATATTTTAAATATCAATTAAACGCATTAAGCCAGTGGTTCTCAAACTTTTTTCGTCGTGCCCCCTTAATTCTTTAAAGAAATCTGCATATATTGAGGAAACATGGTAACATATGGTATTTTATGCTTTAGTAGAGTGAAAAAGTTACAAACAGCACCTTTAAGCCCCGCTGTAGTCAATTGTATCACTTAAAACTGGACCTTTGATTACCAAAATGACAAGCATACATTTTTTTTTTCTTTGTGAATTTTTTTCTTCATGCCTTAAAATAGCTTGAATGTAATTCTACACCCTTGCTTCGTTTAGTATACGTGGATCCATGAATACGCAAATCGGTCCCCGGCTCCACTCAATCACAAAATCTCGGACAACCTGATCCACTCACTCAACTTTAGTAAATGCAGCACAATGGAAAGTGGAAATACTGGTTTAATTCAGCCATATATGTTTAAACCAGAAAATGGATTCAGAAGAGGAGGAGGAAGAGCGAATTATACAGGTTCGTCTACAACTCGATGTATCAGAATGGTAATGCGTTTTACGTATCGCTTTCTAAAAGGTCGGAGACATAACCGTAACTGATATGATTAGCCTTTGGCTTGACAATGTTATCAAACAGCTAATAATGTGTTACTAATGTTACACAAACCATGTTCCTGTCACCATCTCAGAGTCCGATTTCTCATATTAACAGAAAAATATACTGGGATAACCTGGCTTCTCTCGGGACTCCCCTACTTAGTTAATGATATGCTAAAGCTGCTCATTTAATTTACTGCTCATTGTTAATTCATGTTAGCTAATACATTGCTGTTAAAAAATGAGACCATATTCTGAAGTTTTACCATAATTCTATTTACTCTGTATAATATATAGCATTATATTCTAATTCTACATTATAAATGGTTTGAATTCTGTTTGCATCAATGATTATTATTTCCTGTTTCTCACTGTAAAGCTGCATGACGGTGGTATTTGTAACCTAGTAACTAGTGGTCGGCCGATATATATATATATATATATATATATATATATATATATATATATATATATATATATAAGTTGCCATCTAAAGTATAAGCATGTTTATTTTAAAGATCTGTTTTCTAATTTATTACTAATTTATTAAATATTGATTAAAATAAATATAATATATTAAATATTTATTAAAATAAATATAATATAATATAATATAATATATTATATATATGCATATAGGCCATCGGCCACCCTGCTCTCTGAGATATCGGCATCGGCCATCAAAAAAACAATATCGGTCGACCACTACTAGTAACCAACAGTAAATAAAACACCATCAATGGAAAAAGTAGTGACGTATCGTTAGACTATGAGCCGGCTCCTTTAAGTGAATGGTGAGAGTCGGTTTCCGTCTGAGAGCAGTTTTCCCATTTTGTTTATTAACCCTCTGGGGACCAAGGTGTTTTTGGGGTCCTTGAGATGTTTTGACATGCCCTGACATTTGTGCTTTTTTCAGTTGCTTATAAACATATTAATGGCACAGGTGAAATTACACTATTTAGCACAAACAGGGCTACCATAATATGTGAGCAACATGTATGTACATGTTTGTATTTTTGAGAGAATATTGTTTATGCATGGTTATTGAAAAAACTAAAAATTAAAGTTTCTGAAATAAAGCCACAAAACACATACTAAATATGTGTCCACAAGACTTTTGACTAATGGAAGTTGTGGCCTAGAGTTTTTGCTTCAAAATGGTCTGAAAATCATCCTGTCTAATCATTCACATAACACAATAGATTCTTTTAAATTGTGAAAAACATTATTTTGTTAGCCAAGGCAGTATGCGAATGGGAGTGAACGGCCCAACCCCATTGTGAATAATTAAGTGGTTGAGAAGACAAAGACGACCCGCATATTAATGAGCCTTTCATTCAGGTGTGTCACACAAGAAAGAATGCAAGGACAATATGCACACACACATGCATGCATATATATACAGTATATATATATAAAATCAAAATATAAATGAAAGTCAAAAGCACATTTTTAGTCATACCTGGAAACAAATCCTGTTCAAATAGATTATATGGGCCATTCTACAGAATTGGTTCAAAGTTAGAGTTGGAAACATCTTGAAAAGAAAATAGTCTTTTTCCATAAATGTCTTAGTAGGCCAATACATTTTATCATACATACTTCAAAGTTAAGGATTCATTATTTTGATATAGCTTGCATTGGAGCAAACACTATTCTTAGTTGATTAGTTTATTGACAAAACATATGAGCAGAAACTGCTAACAAAAGCTTATTTGATGTCTATTTTAGAGTTAAAACTTTATAATCTATCCAAAACTAGTCTCACACACACACAGAAACATGATTCGAATTTAAACAGTAGGCTATTTTTGCGTTTACAGACACTAACGTTATTATATATCGCGATTAGAACAAAGCACAAAAATAAAAACACTTACAGTTCAGCTCGCTCCTCGAAGTGAAAATAAACCAGCACTTGTTCTGAGGTAGGTAAATGTCCCAGGATTATTCCTCACAGCCGTGCAAGACGACAGTTCATTAATCTGACTAAATATAGTGTGTTTACAGAGTTTATATGGGCGTTTACACGTCTAAATGTGTTGCTTCAGATCATTAGCGTTTGAATAGCGTGCGCTCTCCGTGGGCGTGTCACATTAGCGGAATAATGAGATGCGAGAACGATAATGAGAACGGCTGACACCTCTCTCTTTTTATATAGATTACATAAACAGGGAATATTTATTTTAGTTTTAAATTAGATAATTTAAAAAAAAAGTACAAACTTAAATGATCATAAACATATATTGCTCATGTCTGGGTGAATAGTATTCGCTGAGTTTTGTTTAAGTTTAAGAGACGTAGCTATATATTCATCCTTTTAACCCTTTCACACGTAAGTTTAAAATATTCTAACTGACCCCCCAGCGTGAGTTTTTCAAGGCGACCGTTATTTAGAACCTGTCACTTTAATGTTTCCATGGTGACGCGTCATTTCTTGTCACGTGACACAGCGCAATCACAACACAGAGCTGAATGAGTGATGATCTGCTTTTATGTCTTTTTTCCTTTTCTATTCAAAATATTCACAAATGTATTAGCTACAGCATGAAACACTGATATTCCGATTGTCAAATATGTGCAAGTGGATGTGTTTTGTTGTTTAAACATATTTATAACGATCGCGTTAGTTGAGCTGTATGCACGATGGGCGGCGCCATGTTAGTTTGTTTCACAGTTCAGAGAATCGGACCTGTTGTTTCTCACGAATTACATGAAAGTAAGTGGCCGGTGAACTAGGAGAAGAATAGGGTAAAATGTAAAGCTACTTACACAATGTGTATCTGATATGAATAAAACGTTTTGTCTTATTATAATGGAAATGATTATTGTTGCCGTTTCCATAGACATCAGTGTCTATTTTACTAATTCAAAATCACTGTTTTGCTAGTACTTATGTGTATTTAAATGTCTGAAACCTAAAATAAACATTATGTGGTTTAAAATACTCAATAGTTGTGATATATGACAGCACTGAGTGCGTCTGTCTCTGGCTCAGCGCCAGCCAACGCGCGAAAGCACGTTTGAATTTAGCAGTTGATCACGTGATGCACTGACCGTTCTAATCACACCGGTGTGATCGTACGCTCCAGGGACCAGCCAAGACTGATCACACCGGTGTGATCGTACGCGTCAAAGGGTTAACTATCATTTCAATGCTACATTTACAACTAGATGCAGCAATCAAGATCTATAAGAGCGCTCTGGGCGGTTTGGGAACTGACACGTACCTTTTTCATCATCTTGTTCTGCTTGTGGAAGAACTCCACCTTGATGTCTCCACACACAGGCAGCGGCTGCGGAAACTCAAAGTACATGTATTTCTCCTCTCGCCTTGTGTGCACTGGGTTGGAGGTGTGGATTTTCACCTTCAGCTGGTACACCACAAACTGAGGATCTGCGAATTAAAACAATATGTAATTGCCATTCCAGCTCTGTGTGACAAACTAAATGTGAGCTTATGCATATGTTAACATGAAACAGAAGAGAAGCATAGGGGAAAACAATAGGATAGAAACAGCAGAAAAATTGATACAGAAAAGACAAAATAACAGTGGCATGCTAAGGGCCCTATTCTGAGAACTGCTGACGCAGGACCACACTTCCCATCTGCTTTGGATGGGACATCACAAGCGACCACCCAAAAGTGGCGTTAGGGGCTTTTACTTGTACATGGCAAACACATTCTACAAAGTAACACTGGGTAGGCTAACAGAACAGAAAATGAGAAACAATTTTTTTTAAAAGCTGACGTTACCCCAATGCCAATTGGTTTTTCTGAACCCATGTGGAATCTGCTCACTCTTGCTTTTTACAGCAGAATCCCCTTGGAGAAAAAGAAGGAGATTAAAGACTGTCCAGTGGCCTGGCCAGAGCAAGAGAGAGAGGGCACTATGAGGTGAAGAAACGTTTAAACGAAGCTAAAAACAACACACACACACACACACACGTAGAGCTTTAACAGAACTGGACTGAAATATTAATGGCCATAAAAGACTATGGAGGAAACCGTAAGTGCAACATCATTTGGAAGCCCTTTAGCCTTGAGGTACGCTCTCTAATTTTTTTTTTTTTAATTCACAAAAGTTGTTACAGACAGAAGAACAAAAATAAAATATAATGGATAAAGTTCAGATTTCAAACAGTAGGTTGTCTAAAGCATCATGAATGATCCACCCTGGAGCTGTGTGCCTTTCTGTTTGTAGCGAGTACGGCAGGCTTGGTTAGTGTCACCAAGAATGTGTTCAGAATAGGGCCTGGAGGAGGAACAGTCATAGACAAGAGACATGGATGCTGTGCTACAGCGCCACTGGACAAACTCGCACTCCAAGTAAAGAGTTGGCCCTCTGGAAGCAGAGCTGCCTGGAAAATCTTTACACATTCTTGCCACTTTTCTTTGAATATGACAGCTATGTGCCTAAAGTACATATAATAGTCCAGGAAGTACATTAGGTCTATCTGGATTAAAGGTTAAATGTCTAGGTGCATAGAAAAAGACAGAAATTTGAATTTGTAGGGTAGAATTTACAGCAGTTGAAGAAAAAAAGAAAGCCGCAAGTAGCCGTGAATGCTATTTAGTAAAGCTGCCCCTTGGCACTGTTACGATAGTGAAGCGTGTGTGTGTGTGTGTGTGTGTGTGTGTGTGTGTGAGGTTGGGGTGAGAGACTTGATCTCCATTTCCGGAGACCCTGTGTACACCTGGTATTAATGTCTGAAATGATTCGACAAGTGGACGGCACTAAAATGAAGGTAAAAATGGAGGTAGCTTTACAGAAATTCATGATGTTAATATTTATATAACTTGTATAATGCCTAATCTCGCACATTTAGCAATTTAGATGTGGCTGATAGGATCATTTGATATCCTATCACATCCTATAGGATAGTCTGACATCCTATCACCATAACAAGAATGAAATATAGCTGCAAGCAGCAATTAGGGGGCCAAGCACAAAGAAGGCACGAGTATAAGACCAACTGCAACAATGAGCAATTAAAGACATATTGAGATGATTAGGCAAAATAGCTGAAAAAATCATAAATACAATCAGTAGTAACATGATTTATTGGTCTATCACTTTCGTGCCATTAATTCTGTTGATCAGGTATAAGAAAACGGTTTGTCTATTGACACGAAATCCATAACTTTTTGCCAGCATGGTCTGAAGATGATCTGACTCGAATTTGGTGAAAATTGGACAAACGGTCTAGGAATTAGAAAAAAGTAGGTTTTTAACGAAAATCAAAAATCGCAGACAGAAAGTTTGACCGACTATGACAAAATTGGTATCTATGTTTTTGGTATGACCCAAGGAATCTAATAAGACCAGTTTCATTACAATAGGCAAAACTAATTAAAAACCAACTGTCTTGAAACTATCTGAGTACCTTCAGGGAACGGTGCCGATTGCACACACAGAGTTTCATAACGATACATCAATCCGTTCATAAAATAGCAAATATAGCATGCTTCATCGAACCTACAGAGAGCAGTTTTGTGATTTTTGGCCAAACCATTCAGAAGTTATAAGCAAAAATAGCCATTTTATATCTCCTGACCACTAGGTGGCACTGCGCCAAAACTGTGCAAACACCCTCAGGTCATGGTCACCCATATATACACTAGATGTCGCCTTGGCTACGGCAGTTCATTAGAACGAATGCGTCAATACAGCCGCCATCTTGGAACAGGGGAGCCCCTCCAATTTAATAAATCAGCGTCAATGTAGACAAAGGTCTAATGGAAATAAAATCACCATAAATCATCGTGAATGCGATTTTCTCGTTTTTTTGGTTCGTTCCCACGGTCAGACATGTATTTATCATTGATTCCAGAAAAAAAAATTCAAATTTTTTTTTTTTTTAAACATTCTTCCTAGTTAAGATTTCATTCGTGTGAACATCATACACAGCACAAAAGTCCGCCACCATCAATAAACCCTCTGGGGACGGATTGGGCGGTACCGCCCAAAATGGCATACTTTTACAAATGTGTAATTATCTTAAAAACTATTAATGATAGAGAGCTGCGGTCTTTTTTACCGTCTTCCTCAGATTCCGCTGAAAACAGTGATACCCAGCTTTGTAAATATACACACTTCCTTGTTGCGCAATACCACTATGTAAAAGGCCAATGAAATCGATGTTGTTTGGCAGATTCCGCGAAAAACAACCAATGGAAAAATTGCCGATGGAGAAATATTTTTCTTACCCAATCAGAGGAAGGTTACCATGACCTTTCTAGCAAATCAGAGGACTCTGTAGCTTTGCAAGGGGTGGTACTATATAGTTAGGGATATGACGCAAACAGCGTTGAATGGAGAGAAGGAGAGAGAGCGAACGGAGGCTTGCGGAGCGGATTATCAGAGATTTATATGAGAGAGAGAGAGACAGAACAATTATAATATATATATTTATATACACATACATACAATTATAGCATTATTTATTGTTTTAGCACTTTTATGATGGCAAGCAGTAAACGATTTACGGTGGAACAAGCTCTGGAACAATTACTGGAGAGTGACGAGGAGAAAGCATTGCTTAGAAAATTCTAAGCATTCCTAAGAAAAACGCATGGGACTATTTGTAAATAAAGTTACATTTTTCATTGTTCTTTACACATTTTATTTAACAATTACACATGTCTGTCAAGCAAAGGCTTTGACAAATATATTTTTTGTTCAAAAACTGTTCACTATTTTTGTGTGATGTGTGATTTTCAGAAATAAATGAGAAAAATCTAATTTCCGTTTTTGAAATTCTCTAGTTTATAGTACATTTTTCACTCATACTTCCTTTATAAACACATTACATGCATGCTTATGTTATCTTAGGGTCTTCTGAATCCATAGATACCAAACACATAGTGATCCATCTCCATTAAATATGGTTTATAAGCCCAAATGTAAAAATAGAGAAAACGGACCAAAAAGGACTTAGTCCCCAGAGGGTTAATTAGAAGTAAAGGCAGAGATAGCAGCGTTACCTAGCTACTTCCTATGACAAGACCCCTGTTCCAAGATGGCGGCGGTTTTGACGCATGCTTAGAACCCCAAGGTGACGTCTAGTGTATATGTCTATGATGGTCACCAAGGACATCAAGTTTGATTGAGCGATTACATGAAACATGATGCATTACGTTAAGTTGTACGGTTTCTTTTAACATACCTTCTGATGTTCATTCATGTTTATGCTATAACTAGTAGTAAAGTCGAAGAGATCAGTTCATGTGTGCTCTATCTGTGCTGGCACTTCGCTTGAACTGTGCATGAACTTGAACTGAACATGCCACATAAAAGTGCGTCAAAATGGTATTGTTTTTTTTTATTTCATTATAAAACTGACAGAATTTGAAAACTGAGACTTTGTTTCATATCAAAAGTAACAAAAGCACAAAGCTCATTGCAATTTATTGGAATGGATGCATGTCTAATATGTCATTCATAAATTTTCTAGTACATTTATTAATCATTTAGCAGACGCTTTTATCCAAAGCGACTTACTGTTGCCCTATTATTGCTTCTATTGTTCTCCTCATTTGTAAATGCTGTGACTAGTTCGAGTTAGTCTAGCACAGTATTAATGGGTCAAATGTTGACGAAAACTGTTTATTAAGATTACACTTCACCTAAATTGTTGAATCTGGCTGAAATTTGGAATCTTTATTTTATACTTTGGTATCCGGTAAACCCATTTATTCACTCCCATGCCACAGATTTTTAACATGCATGTCTCTGTATGACACTTTTCAGAGACAGGTCAGTTTAGTAAATAATATAAAAATTGTATGTAACTAATACGATCCAGTATTATAGTTTTCTGAAACCACGGGAAACAGCTCAGTGAAATGTTCTAGAACACGCAAAAAAAGCAAGACTTTGGGTGTACAAGCACTGCTTGCGCGCTGCCAAACTGCCTGTGATTTCCCATGTGCATCTCATCGAAACAGACCCTGACATTTGTGACTGGCGCATCCCGTGTGAAATGGCCTGTAGTTAGAATCTCATGTGCCAACGTTGCATGTGTACTGTAAAAGCTAATGCTTCCTGGAAAACATAGGACCTCCAACTCACCTACTAAACTAAAACAAGAGTTTTAAACTTTGAAGGGTATGTGTAAATGTTAAAGAAAATACCTGATCACAAAAGTTGGAAAAGTCAAGACTGGTCACAAAAGACACAGGAAGTGAAAGTTAATACCAGGTGTATACAGCGATACCTCTCACCAAAGCACTTGTGATCTAATCACCCGAGACGGATGATAATACAAAATATAAACAACAGTGCCAGAAAGATAAAGAGAAAGAGAACTTACTGCAGGTCCCTCCACTGAACATAGGCACTGTCTCAAACACCATCTTGTGAAAGAGCAAGGCCACAGGTTTGTACTCGAGCTTATTCTTCAGAAGGTAGCTATAGTAGTACACATATCGCCTCTGACTGGGAATAGTCACTCCCTGTGAAATAGAAAACCACAGCGTTAATGCAAACATCTCCTCCGTGACCTGAACAGCACCAGATTTGAGTCATTAAAGGCAACATGACACATTTGAAACAACGGTTCTAAAGGGGAGTTTTTTTAAGCAATGCCATAAAATAATAATTTTGGCTCCCCAAAGAACATTTTAATCTAAAGAACCTTTTGTGCAATGGAAAGGTTTAATGGATGTTAAAGTTTCTTCATGGAACCACTGATGCCAATAAAGAACCTTTATTTTGTGTGATAAGTGTAGGGTGCAACATTTGGGTTCCAGGATTAAAAATCCCATTCATTTTCTCCATAGGGGAACTGATTCACACAGGACTTTGCAAGACTATGGGGCGTGGACCTCTATCCCTCTAGTGAAAATGTTTGTACATTTTAAAATTTTATGCATCAACCTGGCATACTTTTGAATTTAAAATTAAGCGTTCCAAACCATGTTCAGTGCGCAAATTGAGCAGTAAAAAAAAAAACACGTTGTGATATAGTCAGTCAACATTATTCATACTGGTGTTTTAGGAAGCCAAACAATTAGAATATATTCATAATAATAATACTTTTATCATATTATATTAACCCATAAGACACTGTAAAATAAATGCAAATAAAAGATTAATTTCTTCACTTTTTTTTATCTTGCTGGGAAACTGTAGTAGAGCTTTTATTTTGGCAGAAAACTGCAATTCTTATGAAAACAGGTTTATAAACATCTCATTACAAATCTAGTGAATTGCTGCAATAATCCATCCACAAAAATTCTAGAAATTATGCAAATGTGAAAATGCATAAATGGTTTCCGTTGAGTTCCCAGATGGACGCTAAACTCACATCACATGCAGAGATGAAGTTTGCTGAATTTCACTGTGAACCGAGCCACTGAGATGGAGAGCAAAGTCCAACAGACTATACACTAATTTAAATTGCAACCTTTTGCAATTTTGATAAGGGCACTAAGCCATATCAAGCTTAGCTTTCAATTTTTATTCATTTGACAAGATACTTTGCCAAAGCAAAAGCACAAAATAAAAGTTAGAGATCTGTTATATTATTATAAGAAGTTTATGAAAATCAAGTTTTTAATGTTGTTAATATGTCTATGTGGTGTTTTTAATATGCTTTAAGACAAACCATGTGCAAATGCATCTGTCAACATCACTGCTGAGTATTTTCTCTTAAAACTGCAGTGTATCAAAGACAGTCTCGAAAACGTGGTTTGAAACCGACACTCTCCTATCATCACAAACTTGTAACCAATCCTGTCAATGTGTGGGGCGGGGCTTTTTCTATCATTATTTCTAGGAATGGTGATTTTTAGAAGCCAGCTGTCTGAGATGGCGAATGGGAACATGGCTTGCGTAACATTAGCGAAACATTATTAGCTGTTTGAAAACTTAGTCAAGCCAAAGGCTAATCCAATCAATAACTGTTACATGTCAACTTTTATTCAAATTCTGAATGGATTATATATAGCCTAGTTACAAAAAGTTATTCAGTCAAGAGAAATGTTATTTTCTTTGTCTTTTGTTCTTTGATTTACAGAGAGCAACAGGAAAATTAGGCTGCTGTCACTTTAAGAGCTTATGCACAGATACATTTACTATTCAGTGACACATACAAAAAAAAAAAAAGACTGCGTTTCACAATACCCACAACCCTGCACCAAAATTCAGGCCCTGTAACACCAGCACTATTTAACCTGAACAATTTAAACGAGTGAGTGAGTGGAGGCGGCAGGTGTGAGTCAATTTGCCGTCGGAGAGAAGACAGAGTGAGAACGCCCAGCTCAGTGTATCAATAGAAAAGGAGTATTGGAATGGTTTCAGATATTTCAGTATCAATGCATTTTGAAAAATCTATATTTTTGACAACACTAGCATATACTAAAAGCAAGGGTGTAGTTAAATTCAAGCTATTTTAAGGCATAAATAAATTATTTTCAAAGATTTTTTTTTTTTTAAATAGGTCATTGGATTAAATGATTGAATGCAGGTGGGCTTTATAAATATATTTTCAGTTCAACTGTGGCAGGACAGATTATAGTATGAGTCTCCCTGCCAGAGTCTAGGTAACGAATATGAAACACTGATAACTTAAAACCTTTAAAGACACACCTACTGTGAGCTACGAGGTTGTTCATTGATGGTATTTGTTGTGTTGAAGCCCTTTGGTCTGATTTTCAAATACTTTTTGGCTTGTGATTCACCTTGTAGCTGGTTGGGCTTGTACATGGTTTTAGAACTCTTTAACGAAGACTTAAACATTTATATGAGAAAAACACTTCCAGAACAAAGGCCACTAAAAATGTTGGGGGGCACTGTTGCATTTTACAGAAGAATACTCAGGGGGAAAGAATTTTTATCATTGGGACTTTGGACTGAAACGCATTAGGCGTTAATATTATTAATAGATAATTCTTATACAACAACCTTGGTGTAACTATATCAGTGCACAAAAACATTACAATTTGATGAGACTGAACATATTTTCTTCTCTTCCAGTAAGACTAGGGACATAACTGATATGTGATATGCCGTCTATAATGACATCACATAGAGCTTGTGGTGTTGTCATTTTAGATCATCAAAACAGGTTCTTAACAGCCCTTGGACTATGACAACTGATTCTTTAAAATGGTCAAATATATCAAAACATTTGACCTTGTGATTTACATTTCTATACAAAAACTTGAATGAGAACAGTTTTTTTTAGAAAAGGAAACAAAGCAAAAATGTATACTTCACCTTCTTGTCTCTGGTTCTAACTTCACCATAGAAGTCCAGAGCCTCTTGTGCTTTTTTGAATTTGCCACGGTGTAACAAGTACGCACAAATCATGACACCCGTACGTCCCTTTCCAGCTTTGCAGTGAATGGCAGCCACATGATTGTCATTTTCACTGAGCCACTTATCCAGATCTTCACAGAAAGGCTTAATAAGCTCTAGCTGAGGAGGATTGTGGTCTTCAAATGGATACTGTGCAACTACAAGAGAGAAATAAAGAGTTAATTAAGAGACCTTCATTATCAACACCACACAAAAAATATCATATTTCAGAGCCATCTGTAAAGAGCTGATTTCTGCAATCCGAGCATCTTACCTCTGCAGTTAAATTTGGCAGTATCATAATGTCTTTCTGCACATCTAAACAACAAAGAAAAACAGATGAGTACAAAAGTTCAATGTAACACTTTTCTGCTAAGAACTTTGAATCAATGCCAAAACCAACAGAACATTCTCAACTAAATGACAGGACTATTTGCAATGACAATGCACTCCATTCACAACGATCAAAATGCTTGTTTTCTTTAATCTTCAACTGAACACGATTGCAGCTTTTTTTGCTTTTACAATAGCAAACTGGAAGAAATGTTCTATCAGTAAAATACAATAATTGAAAACCCATTTAAAACAAGTTTTTTGAAACACACTTACAGATTATATATCTTGTAATAATTTTTATGCTTCGAGTCCAAGAATCTGCAGAAAGAGGACAAAAACATTGTTAATTTTTGTTAAAGGAATAGTTCACCCTTAAATGAAAAACCTGTCATTAATTACTCGCCTTCATGTTCCAAATCCTTTATTATTTCAATGAACCTGATAGATTTCTATCCCTCCACCAAAACCGATGCTTCAAAAGGTTAATAAATCCAAGCTCAAACACGCTTGCATGACATAGGAGTACAAACCTCATTGGTTCTCACATGTCAAGCAAGTACGATTGACAAGCTAGATTTACCATATTTGATGTACTACATGTATGTACACTTGTTTATGTCAATAAAAGCCCGAATTAACTTGGAATGCACTCTGAACCATTTGAAAATCAATAAAAATATGTGAGGATTTAAGTCGGTTGAGACTTTAAATGAATCGTGATACGCGTTTTAAACAGCAGGGGCACTGAAGCTGTATACGGTGACCTCCCTTCACAGACACGATAGCAGCGAGCAAGTTGTAGCATTAAACGGTACATGTTGACGTTGAGGATGCCCCATCCTCATTCAAATCTGAGGTGTGGCAGCTTTGACTTTCCGAAGACTAAAAATGAAACCGGTGAGGTGGTTACAGACAAAACAAAACGAGTCTCCTCCGTCTGTACGTAAAATGCTATTAATAGGCCAGACCGGCAGATTTGCAGCCCCCCTCGCTGTGACGAGTGCGAGAGCCCCAGAGATCACAAGGTGCATTCATGGTGAAAGATATGACGAGGCTGTTTTCTGTCGTAGAAAATGAATTCTAGAGAAAGACCAGCGCGAGGATGTATTCCACAGACTGAAGGAGAAAGCTGCTGACACGTGCTGTTGCAGAACCAGGTATTGCATTTATTTTACTTACTACTTTAATGTCTTACTTTCTCTAAATGTGTACATACATTTTTTATCAATTTGTTGATTATTATGGCACATTTATGTTAATGCGTTTTATTTTTATAACTCTTGCAAGTGTAGTGAGACAAATTATAACAAATAAAATCTTGCCTTTATAACAATGTAAAATCCCTGTCACTGTTGTACTTTTATTTCAGCTATTTCTCTGAGCAGGATGAGAGTGAGGAAAAACAGAGCAGCCTCTTGACCAGACAGACTGAGCTAAAACAACCTCCTGCCAAGAAAACAGCATTGGAAGATCCCCTTGGAGGGACTTTTAAGGGATTTGTTTTAAAATTTCTATTTAGTTTTATTATTTAACCCTTTAAGACCGACGGGAGCGCCGGCGCTCCCGTTTGCGTGTGTCTGTTTAAAAGCCTATAGAAACTGAAACCAAATTGCTAGCTCAATCATTCTTTTTGCATACAAAACCAGAGATGTAACATGTTCAGATCAAGCCTCCAACATGCCCATGTTGCGTTGTTTTCACCCTCTAATCAGTCTGTACAAACTGCGTAATATGCGTTTACAAAAAAAAACCCACAAAAATGCATTGCACGTCTTTGCACACATGTTCTTTAGATCTGCGATTGATAGTTACGTCTTCCGATGGCTCATTGACGTATCACGTTCTGTGCACTATGACCCCCGGGTGTGTCGCATGTTGTGACGTCACAAGCTGCGTCATTTGACCATGCGTTTGACTCGCGTGATTTTTTTTTTCCCAAACCACTTCAGCGGAAATCCCGCCCTGCAGCCGATTCTAAAGTTTTCATTGGTCATGTCAATCACTGTACAGATTGCCTACACCAAGCACTGATCCCTAAACCTACCCGTCACTGTAACCTAAACCAATGAAATCGGCTGCAGGGCGGGATTTCCGCTAAAGTGGTTTGGGGGGAAAAAAAAAAAAATCACACGTTTGACTCCCATTTGCTATATGTTCCTTCTTATCGTTATTGTCTTTTTACCATTGCTTTATTTTATCATTTCTTTCTCCTTTAGACACTCACAAATACAAGCACATTCACACACACACACACACACACACACACGCGTGCGCGCACGCACGCAACGTTATGTCTAAACGAAAGTACACGGACGCGGAGGTTTTGGAAATTCTAATTGCGTCCGATGATGATGAACTATACGTCTGCTCATCTATTTATTTTATATTTTAACCAATTCAATGTTCAATCAATATTCAAAAGCAAAATGTTATCTGTTTGACCACAAATGTAATTGAATATTTTACATGGCATTTCCCCTCCCTTTTTTTGAATGAGTGTATCTTAAAAACTAATTTATGTAAACAGTTCAAATTAATTCTGTATAGTTTTAAATTGATTTATGCACGTTTTTCACATTGACAAGTTTGAGGTTGACATTTATCCATTTTTTGTATTGAATAAAATATGTAAAAAATAAATAATTAAAATTGTTTTTCTTTTTGTTTATTGCACTTTTGAGATATTTATCTAGTTACTATTGATTTTTTACAAACATAGCCTTCAAATTGGGAGAGTAAGGATTATTTTGATGTATGGCATATGAAAATGCTCAAAAGAATGACAGCACAGCATGTAAAAATACAAAGATATACTCTGGTGGAATTGTTCTATGGCAGGTCATAAAGGGTTAACATAAAACATATTTAAATTTTTACAAAAGAAATGTGCAGCATTTTGTCTAAGAAATAATAAAAGGAAACTATTTTATAATTTCTTAAATCTCATTTTGTTAAAAAGAAAATCATGAGAAAATCGTATCGTGAAACCAGTATCTTGAATCGTATCGCATTGTGAGTTGAGTGAATTGTTACATCCCTACTGTTTATCATATGAAGCGATCGTGTCACTTCAGAAGATTTAACTTAAAGCGCTCGATTCATATGGATTTCTTTTACAATCTCTTTATGAACATTTTGAACCATCAAAGTTTTGGTGGAATACTTTTTAAAATGGTGGGAATAAAATCTCTTAGGTTTAATTAAAGATATCTTCATATGTTTCAAGATGAACGGAACTCTGATGGGTTTGGAATGAAATGAGGCTGCCTTTATACACGCCACATATTGTGCCAGGCTATTTCAATACACATGATTATGCCTAAAAAAAAAATCTACAGGTAATTTCACCCATAAGTCTTAAGTGTGCCTTAAGTCTTTTTTTAAGTGTACCATTGCGTAAGCCTTTCAAAGTATACTCCACTTGATAGCGTGAGTGAAAGCAGGCGGTCGATGCATGCTCTTTGTGTCTGCGCTATTTTTCTCCAGAAGTTATGACTGATAAAATATCTTTGTATGTTGGGGAAAAAATATAGGCCTACTCTTAAACTAAACTGGTAGTAGGTGGCGGCAAAGGATTGTTTTAATGAGTGAGTCATGAAGTCATTCCTTCAAACGATTCGTTCAAACAACTGATTCGTTCAGGAATGAGGCAGTTGTTTATGAATGGGTCATTGAATATTTGACAATCAATTCGTTTAAAACGCTGAATAATTCAGAAATGAAAACAGTGTTGCTGTGAGATGCACTATGATTCTGCTGAAATCTTTGTTTGGAACTATTTTCGCTGCTGAAACATAACAAAAACAGTGAATATTCTGTCTAAAATGTAAGTGACTTATTATTCACTACTTAGTAGTGTCGAATTAAATCAGTCACATTTGCAATCGTGATATATTCAGGAAAACAGCACTCTTGGTCGTGTGATGTTGCTTAACTCCTATCATTATACATCTAAAAACTCCACATGTTGATTTTTTTTACCACAGTATTTTAACAGTTGTTTATTTGTGTGTGCTGGGCTCATTTGTTTTCATTTCTCCTCGAGAGGCTGCGATAGCCTTAACAGCACAACCTAGTTAACGTCAGTACATTATAGCTACATTTTATATCATTATCCACTATCGATCGCCACTTACACTACGTGTAATACAATTAGAGTCATTCTCACGTTTTGGTGATTCCCTAGTTATTTTTTTTTTGTTATTGACGCTTTAATCAGGCTACTTGTCCCGTCAGGCAAGTGAAATTCTCTTTCACTTGCCTCTTCAAAAAATCAACTTGTCCCGGACTAGCTTTAATGTCGAGCCCTGAAAACCGAAGTACACTTTAGCCATTAGACAAATGTCACCGAGCAACTATGGATGACTAGAATAAAATGTCTAATGAACTTAATTGTTGGGACGAAATTATACAAAACCATTATTTTAACCTGAGAAGACCACTTTTCTGCACAGACAAGGCTAATATTTACTCTCTCAACCGATTTACATCACAAATGCATTTACTCATATGACTATAGATTGGCATATTTGAATGACACACTGCCTAACATTAGTTACACATTTCTTAAAACGTCAATGAATGTGACCACCACAATGCAAACTCAAAGCAGTGCAAGAGGTTTAGGATGCATGGTGTGACAGGCCTAGTCCAACACAGCTGTAAATATCAGCTTTAGCTTTTTTTTTTTGCTACGACATGGGTTGTAAATGTTAAAAGTGACTCACAGACATAGAAAGGTTATACTGACTAAATCTCCAGAGACAATACACAAAGTGAATACTTACCTTACGACGTCGTCAATATTATTCCTGTAGACACCCTCAAGTCTTTCAGCCGGAAAACCCATAGCTATAATATTGGGGTATATATCTGGACAGCAACGTTAGGGAAATCTAGAGAAGTCTTACTAGGGAAACTGATGTGGACAAGAAAAAAAAGAAGAAAAAAAACGTACGATCATCTGACTAAACATGAACCCATTTATAAAGTCCACTGGCTGCTTGTCATACACATTTATAACAACCAGTTAAACACATAAATTGTTTCCAAAACTCTGAGGTGATGTTAGTGAACAATGCAGAGCAGCAAAATGATGATTTTTGTTAGCCACAACGAACAAAAATCAAACCCCGGTTTCAGCTGAGAACTTCAGCATTTCCACCAATGCAGCGCTTTACTTTTTAGTTGTGCAATGAGAGCTCAGATAACAGAATTCTGGGTAATATAGAACAGATGGCTCTCGCTGTAAGAGACCAATGCATAGACCTCTAACCCAGAGGGCCACACAGGGGCACTAAATAAATCACACTGTGCCTCAGCCCAGTCTGGAATCACTTTCCGTCCTCACTTTTCCATAACGAGTGCATCACTCCTTCAGCCTGACATACACGTGCAGATCTTTATTAATAAAAACAATCTAATAAGACCCTGATACAGCAGATGAATTACATACCTGATAGTAGCAGAGACATTCTAATATTATCAATAAGAGACTTTTATATCAACTTCAAAATGTTACTTTGGAAATGCAACTAAAATTAGTTGTTAGATCATTCATGATCACCATCCAAATTTGTATTTTTTTTTTTTTTTTACAATTTCTCTCCAATAATAAAATCTATTGATGATTTCTGACAGAATGCTCTTTAAAAAGAAAAAAGAAAAAAAGAAACATCTGGTCTGGAGTAGATTATGGTAAGAAACGTCTTCCTGTGTTCTCGGATGGTGTAGCATGTGGTTCTCACTCCTGACCTGGCAAACTTGACATTTCAGCAAACAAGATGAAACATTTTTTGACGGATATTTGGATTTAAGCTCAGAGATGGTGTGACTCTTATAAGCCATAGAGAGGTCTTTAAATGCGGTGCTTTTAAAAATATAATGTCCAAATGTCCATCAGGTTATAAACAGTAAAATGGTTAGGATGCTAAGAGATTCACATTAACTTGTAAAACGTGCTATGGGTCTGCATTTTTAATGGTCCAGAAGCCAAAAGGCTTCTTTGAACCAAAGTCTGCAGAAATGCACGTGTTTAGTAAACATCAGATCTTGTCAAATTCAAGCAATTGGGATATTCATCAATATCACCAATGTGTTTCTCTCTTTTAAAAAGCTCGCTATATACATTTTCAGACCAAAATATGCAGAAACATGCACAACAAAGATGTCTAGCTTACAAAGATATGTGCACAAAATTATCCAAATTCAAATCAGCATGACCTTTTTCGGTCACAGTGAATCTGACCATATCTCTTAAGATACATGCCATGCATAATTGTAAATCAGCTACAAACATAATACACTGAATAAGGAATGTCATGTATGCCATGATTGAGTCTATAGCAGTATAATGTCAAGCTATTATTTCAAATATGTAAGTAATCATTTAGGCTATTAAATTATAATTTAATGAAAATTACAAATCTATTAATAATGAATAACTGGGTCAGTTTTTGCAGTGGAGTCAGTGAAAATCCTGGCTGGGCAAAAGTTATTATTATTTAAAAAATCCTTATTGTTGAGCTCTGTGATTTAAGAGCAATAGAGCTGTGCAGCAATCCTAAGGGCAGTTTCTCCATCCAGAGATGATTTGTGCCAATTTTAATCTAATCTAGATACATTTACATGAGTCATGGGGAAGTCTGGGTAACATATTTAAGGCCTTGCGATCATGCACGTTTTATTTTATCAGTGTCGTGGACTGTGTTGCTTTATCAGTAAGCATCAATAAATTTGGACTAAAAGAATGAAGTCATTCATCACATCTATTCTTTGAACAATCCTGTGGGTATTTAGAGGCCAGCATTCCACTTCAACTGTGTGTGTGTGTGTGTGTGTGTGTGTGTGTGTGTGTGTGTGTGTGTGTGTGTGTGTGTGTGTGTGTGTGTGTGTGTGTGTGTGTGTGTGTGTTAAACGCAACGAGTGCATACTAGCATAATGCAACGCAATGTGTCAATAAAGTGGGACCCCAAACACCATCTGAGCAGAGGTGCAAAATCAATGTCCATGCAATCAATTCATTCACAGTTTACTCATGTGATACACTAAAGCAAAGTAGCATCCTTGTTTAGTGTAAATACATAACATTACAAAATTCTTGAAAAAACATGCACCAAAGCATGCCAGGTTGTTATAGTGCTATAGAAATAATTGCACCTCTATTCTGCCCTCTAACTGTCCTTCCAGCCCTATTTCTTAATGTTTTACACCTGCCTTTCTTGTATATAACAGGACAACAAAGAGTAGGACAGTTGAGTGAACAGGACTAGAACTGAACGTCAACGAGCATCTTCAATAACACCGAATCCTGCGTAAAATAAAACAACCTACTAAATCACTTATGCTTTGCACTTCATCTTCAAGAATATAAAGCACCAAATCACAGCCATCACAAAACCAACAATGTATCTGTGCTTTAAAGTCACAAATGACATTGACATATGGCACATAACAGTGAGGCATCAATGACGTTTCTAAAATAAAGCGCAACAGAGGGAGTCCTCTTTAACAGGACTGCACGAATCCCTTCCTGCGATTGCAACAACAACAAAAAAGAAGAAAAAAGACATACTTCACATACAAAAGCGTTTCCTTTTGTTCGCAAGCGGACTCGTTTTTGCTCAATCAAAACTAACCCAAGTTGAGCGCGAGATCTATTTTCTGCGAGCAGCTGATGCAATGGCTCTTTGTGTGACACTGCTTGTGCATTTCATCTAATCCATCGCATTATATAAACCAGCAATACCTCTACGCGACGCATCTTTTGTTTTAAACCCCCAAACTGCAGTTTTCGTGCGAGAAGCCTTGAGTTGAAATGAACGCGTTTTGTGATCAGGATTAACAGATTCGCCGTCAATCGATATATCAGATTACGTAAGAAAGGGGGCAAATGACATCTTACAAGCTCGCTGGCGTTGCTTTTATTGTAGTCTACACATGCAACTTGCGGACATGACTAGAAAAACTGTAATTTACTAATGAAATAAGTGCGCGTGCAGTCTGTTGATTTTCTGTCTACTCGATAACTTGGTTAAATTGACAACTGACATGAATCTAAAAGGCGATGACTTAGACTTGATCCAGTTACAAAAACCAATAGATCTAGATCATGTCAAGCTCCAGTCGCCGAGTAGGTGCCAGTACCAATACCAATAGTTTGTGCAAAGCAACAAAAAAATCATTTAAAATAAAATTAATACTCATTTCCCCCGTATCTTCTGATGAAAAGTCAGAGATTTCTCGATTTGGAACAAGATGCAAACCATTACCTTCATTGCAGACACTGGTTTCTACACAATAGACAGAACAGGGACATTTGATTGATCAAAGAGGATACATGTAAGGTCCAAGTCGAACCCATCTTCCTGGTATCTCCTTTTGTTTCGACTCACAAATTCCTTTATGATCGCAGCCATTGCTGTGAAAGGAGTCTTTAAGGTTTTTAGTGTGAGAGGGAGTATTGTTGCTTTCCGACGATACGTCGTCTTTACGATCTGCTGGTTTCGCAGTCCCCCTGCTAGCTAGAATGGAGTCTGCTGTGGCTCTCTCATCAAGGGCCTCGCTCCAAACCACCACAGGCCCGGCTTCCAAAATGCCCTCCTCGGCTCAGACGAGCCCCGGGTGAAACAATAAGCAACTTCCCACGTCTCGAATTGCAGAATTTCTAGAGCACGACAAGTCTCTGGTCGCACCGTAGCCGCCGTGATTGAGCGCAAAGACGGAGAGAGGATCCTCTCCGGGCGCTTCACGGTTGTCAGAACCCCGCTCGCACTCAGCTCGCGCTCCGTCTAGCCGCTAGCTTCAACGGCTAGCGCACTAGCTCGTCTACACATCCTTAAAAAATAAAAGCCATCGAACATACAACAATCCACGATGCTCAGGTCCCAACACATATATGAAAGGTGACAGCCTCCACCAAGAAATTAAAAACTCGATTTTTTTAAATGTCGCGTAGGGGCGGTCTCCAGTCCAGTCCTTTTCATTCACTTCTCCTCTGTTAAACTCTCAAACTTCCATCATGGCTTCCCATTGAAAAAAGGTGACGTTCAGACAACATATTCATCCGCTGTGACAAATAGTTCCATTAATGCAGCATTTTATAATTATGCCAATGCTTTGTCTGTATTTCAGAATATAAATACACAAATTATTAGGTACACACCAGTTATGACATTAAATTAATAAATACGTTAACTATTTTTTATGGATACAGCAAACGGAAGAATACAGACAGAGCACAACCGGACTACTTTTTGTTCCAGGGTCACGTGTGTACAGAAATGAGGGAAGTCTCCAATATTTTATATCGGATTTCAATTCAGTAGTGTAGTTATTACGCACCAGCATTCTCGTTTCCTTTGAAATAATTATGTATTGGTTTGGCACATCATGACTGAAAAGAACAACCTGTAGCTGTATTTTTAAAACACTACTGTATACGGGGAAAATATCAGAATGCGTCTAGTTACCCCCCTCACCAATGCCTCTACTACCCTGCAATAGAAGGCAGGAAATTACTGAAATGCTTACGCAAGCACAAAAGTAAGTTATTGCATAAAGGCACAAACACATAATTTGCCAATTATAAATGAAATTATAGAAATTAATTGCGCCAACGTAAGATGCAAATTTAATGTAACCATGTTCCATTTGCTCAAATGTGCATTTTGCCCAAGGACGGAACGGAGGTGGAACGTTCTAGCTGCGTTTCAGATGGCAAATCGTTATTGTACAGCGCCATCTGTCAGAAAAATCTAGAATGAAAGTCCATGGATATTACAATTAGATATTTTGCTTTTCCAGTTCAACCCTTGCTAAATGGTTTCAAAAGATCCTTACGGAAATGTTAAGTAGCATAAAAAACCCTGTAGCAAGAATTTCCCATTTTTTAATAAAAATAAAAAGAGATCAGTTACTTTAAATAAATAATTTGCTTCCGTATTTTATATATGGATGTCACTGATTCTTGAGAGTCGGGACAAAACACGTTTTAAAAAACTTTTTTTTAAAATACACACTATATCAATTATAGTTGTATGTTTCTGCAGAGAAAGGTCTTAGCTATTTAACCATGTTAAGGAACAGGTTCTAAATAAAAACACATTTTTAACAAATAAACATGTTTCCCTTCAGAACTGGATTTGTGTCAACTCCGTCAGACACACTAAAAAGTATACAATTTTAATTCTTCCAATCCAAAAAGAATCTAAATTTCTGAAGTATATTGTAATAGTGTTTAGTTACTCTGATATGTAAAAAAAAATACAATATATAAACTTAAGTTGTGATTTCACACTATTCTGAAAACTCAGATTTCTAAATATTTGCATTTCCAAACTTTGATTTTAATTTCAATATTGTAAAAACAAATTCCTTAAATAAATAAAACATAAGATGATGTAGATCAGATGGTCCTTTATTACAAAAACAACATAAACTGAAGGAAGAAAAAAATTTTCCCCAAAAAATTTACAAAAACAAAAACATACATCCAACGCTGTTGATGAAGATCTGACGGAGTTGATGGGAAAACTGACGGTGTTGATGAAAAACTGACGGTGTTGATGAAGATCTGACGGTGTTGATGAAAAACTGACGGTGTTGACAAAAAATGTGTGTGCATTGTGATTATTGAACAGATGTGCTCTTTAAACTACTACTAAAACTACTCCTTGTTATTAGAGTATTGAACTTACTGTAAAGCAAACTATAAGCACATACACCGTTTCCAACTATTCTAAATTACACCGTTTCCAACTATAAAAAACAACAACAAGGGAAACCAGGGGCCCTCCTCCCCCTCTGTTTTCATCTACCTCCCCTATACCACTTCCTGCTCTCCTTTTTCTCATCCACCTCTTCTCCTCTTCCTTTCCTCCTTTGTAAGTAGCCATTTACTTTAAAGTGGCGTGTGTGTGTGTGTGTGTGTGTGTGTGTGTGTGTGCGTATGTGTGTGTTTGGGTGTGTTGGATGTGTGATTGCCCTGCACTGCCTACTTTATACTGGGTGTGATCTTAAATTGACATTCCTTGACAACAATACTGCAACACATAATCTGTAGCTTAGAATCAGGTTCAATTAGCTTACTTAAGATTTCATTTTTGTCTAACCTGCGCTTATGCTTTGAGCAGCAGGCGTCGGACATGCGTATGGTTAAATAATGTAATGCATGCTATGTATGTGCATTTATGTGTAAATAAAACCCTGAAATAACAGTTTAACCCTTCACTATATTCATAAATAATATTATATTCGCACATTAAGAGGTTATTGGTGGATTTGTCAACTCCGTCAGCTACAGGTCAACTCCGTCAGGTTCTATGTTCTGACAGAGTTGACTTCTGACAGAGTTGACGTAAGGGCATGTATTTTCCCGCCAAAACATGTATTGTACACTGCATCTAGGTAGTTTTTCCTCAGTTGCTAGCTGTCCCAATAACCTCACTAAAATGCTTAAATTCAATCCACTATGGTTTAAAAAAAAGTATCTTAACAGAAAGATGGTATTGACATGGTGCAGCTGTGACCATAGGAATATTGACATTGTTTGTCTAAAATATAAAAAAATGTAAACCTTTCCAGAGCATGTGTGGTAGTGCTGCATTCACCACAGACAGGGAGATGAAAAGGGGTCCTCAAGGATATAGCTGACCATGCTATTTCCTGATTTAAAGAGCTTTATGAAAAAATCTGACGGAGTTGACAGAAACTGAGGACACAACTTTAATAGGCAGATATTTATGGAAAATATTGTTTGATGTTCACTTCATGCATTGTTTTTTATATTTATACCCCTTATCTTTTATTTGATATATATGTTTTCACAATTGTAGAGCTTTTTTAAAGTTTTTTGGGATGGTTAATATTGTAACCTCTTGCTGAGGACAAGTGCAATAACATGGACCATCTAACCACAGACCATACATTTAAACAACTTTTCCCCAAAAAGATAAAAAAGTTTATTCTAAAAATCAGATAGGTATATACAATTCCTTTAGATTTAACTTTGTAAGTATGTCATACTTGATGAATTTCTTCATTTTTGCTATAAATTAGACTTTTCTTTGTGGGACATGTTTTGTCCCGACTCTCAAGAATCAGTGATGTAATAAATCTTACATTGTATGAAAACCTCTTTTTTTAAGATGTTGCGGTATATTAAAGTTTTGTCATCCTCTTCTAACAATAACAGCAACAAAACTATCAAATTTATGCTCATATTTTGGTGCTTTATATGTGTATAGTAGCCATATTTGTTGTTGTTTCTAATCTATTTAGGCTATGTTTTATTTGAATGTTGGATACATTCAAATAGTGAATGTTGTTTGTTTGTTTGTTTGTTTGTTTGTTTATTTATTTGTTTATTTATTTATTTATCTATCTATCTATCTTATTCTTCTCTTATGGTAGGCCTATTTTTATGCTTATTCCATTTGCCGTTGAAAAATATATCTTCCTGTATTCTTTAATGGCTCTTCTTTGCCAGTAGAGGGTGTTGGTGTGCAGAGTGACGATGGTTATGTGTCTTGAAAGTTTGTAGCCTAGCTACTGTTTTGTGTGCCCACTTGAAGACCCCAGAGATGTACCCTACTCAGCTCAATCAAGACGGTTGTCATGCTGATCCGTTGGGGACCCCCCAAAATCACCCATAGACATCAATGGTAGACTATAAAAAATGGCTTTTTGTTACATAATTTGTAAAAAAAAAAAAAAAAAAAAAATCAGTTACAATGCAGAAAACACAAAAACAACTAAGAGGCGATACCACAACATATCCCTGATAGAGTAAACACACACAACTTTTTTTTTACAACATGTCATGCTCAAGTCATTGGGGATTATCATGCTTCCGGGTTTCATGGGCGGGATTTGTCAACTTTGTGCATGTCCACTTCCGACGCAGTTCAACAATGGCTGAAACGAAGGCTAGATGTCACTGCTCTGTTCCACTTTGTAAATCTAACCAACAACGCTAACCCTACTTAAGTTCTCATGGATTCCCGACTGAATTGAGTATAAGGAAGAAGTGGATTAAAGCGGTTCGCCGGGATTAAGGTCCAAACTTTAAAATAAAACAAGGTAGCACGTTTGTTTGTAGCCGGCACTTTAATGAATCAGACTAATTTACCAGGGATGCCGTATAAATAAACTTAGTGTATTCCGTCATCAGTTCGCCAGAGTGATCGGTGATTCAACGGAAGTGGCAGTGCACAAAGATCACTGAATGCGGAAGTACTACGTATCAGCGTGATAATCCCCTATTATGCCTGCTACAGACTGTGTGATTTCGGCAATCCTATAAGATCATTACAAATCACACTGTACGACATGGATCTTATAAACTTGGGTACGACGTATGTAGACTGTATGATGATAACACCTATTGAATCATAGGCATTGTAACTCAAGTTAGTATAGAAGAATAAAACGTCAGCTACAGTTGTGAGGTGGATGGATTATCTCGGCAAAGGAGAAGCCTTTTGTGTACATAGAAAAAGTCTTAGATCTTTGAGTTCAGCTCATGAAAAATGAGGGCAAAAACAAAAGTCTTGCGTTTATAATTTTGTTCAGTGTATATCTATTTCGCCTCTTCAAAAGGTTATTGAAGGCAACAGTCAGGCAGGATATGCTAATGCTTTCTACAAATGATTTCCATTACACAAGAGTAGATGTTAAAACTTCATACTGATTTGCACTTGGCTTTCGCCAAGATAAGCACCAACTAAGACGTAGCTTCACAGTAACCTATGCGTCTCCATCCTTTTACACTTCCTTCCATATGGTGATATGAATATCCTTCTGTCTGGTGTTAATGGCTGAAGTATATTTCCTGGCCCGTCAGCACACACAACGACTGCGATGCTGGCTCCAGGAATCAACCACAGTGCGGTCTCCCCAGCGGATCAGCATGACAACCGTCTGGATTGAGCTGAGTATGGTACATCTCTGGGGTCTTCAAGTGGGCACCTTCCGTCCTCAGTGTTTCATCGACTAGCCCACGACACCTCAAGAGGGCTCGACAGTGATTC